TCATCTGTATACGGTCTCGAGTCAGCATAGTGGCGCATAGTTTTGCTCATTGAGTGACGCTCTGCCTTCTGATCTCAATGGAGGTTATTCGAGACTCGTCAAGACTTACTTTTTGACTTCAGGTGTATGCGACTGTTGCACAGCAGCGGTCCACACGCACTGATTTAGCGCGGTCATCATGATTTCCGAGTTGTGAGTGCTAGCACACATTCTGACGCACGCAGCAGTAGGCAAAACATGCACGCAGGGTCGAATGTACCACCTGGTTCCGCCTTCACATACAGGTAGAGTATGGTACGTCGGTGTCTCGACGACTTGAAACGAGCGTTCGTTGACGAATCAATGCTGATTTCATTCAAATCGCTCTATCACGGCCTTGGATGGCATCGCGAGTTGCCTTGCTCGATCGAGTGCTCGTCGATTCGGATTGCATATATGGCTTCTTCGGGCTTTCTCATCTGAAAGTGACGGCGCAGCTAGATGGGTAAGCGAGCTCGGAGGACCGTGCGCGGATGCGCCTCCGTCTGCCCGTATCCGCTGTCGTCCATGAAGACGGATGGAATCAAGTGAGGCACTTTCACCGCCCCTCAACCCGGTCGCCTATGCTGCTGCATGGCTGACAAGTGCGCCGTTCGTGACGCAGCAGCGTAGCTTAATTGCTGTCGCGGCTGCCCTAAATGAGATTCACAAAGCAAGACGATGACGGCCGGATGGTATGCATGGACATTGCTGTAGCGATCCATCATCGCAGCTCACCGAATCTTTGTCGCTTACGGTCGACTTTCGCGATGCTTAGGCGGACAGATGAAGCGCATCAAGCATTGAAACGCGTCGGAGGGCAGACAGATGTGCTTTGGGCCATCTCTGCTAATGAATGTACCGTAGGGCATCGACCGCCATGCAATCTCAACGTGTTCGCAGGTGCGACTGCACGGTATCCCATTGCATCTGCTACTCTTCTGCTGCGTCACTCAATTCAGGTCCCCGCGATGCGCCCAGATCGAAGTGGCCATGCACG